ACGTAAGTTATTTTCATAACAGCTTTACAGAAAACAAGAAATTAATACCGAGACATTTCTATTATTTTCTGTGCTTGGTTTTCTCGAGAGGATTTACCATGCTTTTAAGTGCGTGTCAACCTGTACACCAAAAGACTCCAGGGTGTTGAGCTTCATACAAATACGTGGAATTCAACGCCGCCTACCAGCCCAGGGTATTGGTATGCATGGAGACTCACGCACTAAAACGCCAGTAAAAATCCTCTCTCCAGAAAGTCGGGCAAAGAAAACAAGAGAAATGTCTTAGAATTTGCCACATGATAATTATATTGTTCTCTGGAAGTTTTACATACATACATACTAGCTTAGCTTAGCTTAGCTTAAGGCTGTGCGTTGTAGCCGACGACGACTCTGCTTCATTATGATATCGAAGATTATGATGATGATGATAATGATGAGTGGTGAACTAGGGATGTTGTCGGCGGTGCCCCTGTGGAGTCTAATCCTTGACCCACAGACCATGACACATTGGGCAGGACAGCTCCGGGTGGGAGTGCGATTGTGTCTCCTTTCCCTACGGGCACATCTGGCTCTATTGTGTTCCTTCTGGAGATGTTTGACGCCTTGGGTACAGGTGGAGCGCCATAGACAACGGTTGGATGCAATAGTTTCAAAATCCTTTGGAGGAATGTTACATTTTTTGAGGATCTGGCAAGGGAGACGGTGCCCTGACATGCGGATGACGTGTACCGTCCGTTGTAACTGTCAGAAATGTCTCTTTGCTGGTGGTGTTGGCCCGCAGGAGGGTTGTAAGTATGGGGGACTTTATCCTGCCAGATCAGACCAAGAATATAGTGCAAACAACGGATATAGAAGGCCTCGAGAGATCTGATGTGCCTTTGATACGTAATAAGAACACAAGAATGGAGGAAACTGCAGTGGGCGTATTGGACCACACTAGGCAGCCCCGTGTACACCCAACCCCACAGCAATGTGGTATAGTGTTGTAGCGTTATAGTGAACATGTGTTGTAGCGTTATAGTTTCTTTTAAAATATACACTAAGACTAAATTGATTTATTTTTGAAGATTATGATATAAAGTAAAAAATAATGGATACACACAATACTTAATATTGGAACCATGTCATCTGTTTATGACTTGAGGTTAACATTACAGCGTCAGTAATGCATTATATATAACACTGTGGTAGGCACAGCTTGGGATACCCTTAGTGGACGAGGAGAAAAGGCGGGAAAGATCGACCAGGGGAAAAATTGGGCTAATTTCCCTATTCGGTTACAGTATCGTCTTTCCCTCCTCTGTTGGATGTATAAAGTTCCATATTAAGTTTTAAAAAGTTCCTTCGATATTTTTAAGAGTATTTGAACTTTATGGAACTTTTTGAACATACATAATGAACTGGGTGATGGCAGGGTGTCTCAGAAACAAACATACACGCGTAATGTTGTTATTGGGGTACAAGCGATCACCTGGACACTCTGTTATGTATAAATTTTTGTGAGACTCTGTATATATTAACACATCACACCTTTGTTTATTTTATCCTTTGTTTATTTCGTAATATTCTTCTATTCATTATTTATTGATCTTTCGCTTCTTTATTCATTAATCTTCCTTTTCCGTGTCTTTATGCATCATCAATCATCCTCTTCCCCCTTTATTCGTTAATGCATCTCTATTTACTTACAATCTTTCCCTTCCCTTCATCTTTCTTCACGTTATTCATCATCCCTTTTCCCTTGTATTTCCTCTCACCGACCCTCCCCCCTCTCCTAGACGAACCCCCCCAAAAATGTGACGGTTGGCCTTCCCTCACCCCCTCCCACCCCTTCCTCACCCCCTCCCACCCCTTCCTCACCCTCCTCACCCTCCCACCCTCCCACCCTCCCTCCCCCTCCCATTCCTCACCCTCCCACCCCTTCCTCACCACCTCCCACCCCCCTTCCCCACTCCCTCCCCCTCCCATACCCCCCCTCACCCCCTCCCTTGTGACTACTAAGTTTATTAATTTTCCGCTCAACGTTCCTGCCTCTTAAGGTGTGTCACTGTCAGTCTTTCTACACCTGTGATCACCTGCCGCTGTATCACGATATGAGAACTGGGGTGGGGTGGGGTGAGGTGGGGTCGGGTGGGGTGAGGTGGGGTCGGTGGGGGGTGGGTGGGGTGGGGTGGGGTCGGGTGTGTGTGTGTGACAGTAAGGGAAATAGGATTATTATTATTATTAGAACAGTAGTAGTAGCAAAGTTTCCCCCAGCTACCAACTCCACACCATCTGTCTAGCTCCACACCATCTGTCTGGCCCCTAAACTTTGCCCCAATAGGAAGCGTCGACGAGAGTTTGAGCCAAATGTTCGAGAAGCTTTGGCCCACCAGAAGGTAAACAAACAACACATTACACGACAATTTAATCTGTCTTGTTTACCATAATAGTTTGTTTATGGGGGAAACCTAACCTAACCTAACCTCGCCTCACTTAACTTAGCCTAACCTAACCTAACCTAACCTGACCTAACCAAACTTCGCCTCACTTAACCTAGCCTAACCTAACCTGACCTAGCCTGGCCTGGCCTGACCTGACCTGACCTGACCTAACCAAACTTCGCCTCACTTAACCTAGCCTAACCTGACCTAGCCTGACCTGACCTGACCTAACCTTCAACACTTATTAAATTCACAAACAACAATTTAAGGCAATGTATCTTTACTATTAAATTCACCTTAAGTAAGCGACCAGCCTTTTAAATCTCTATCACCTCACCCTAAGGCTCTACCACCTCACCCTAAGGCTCTATCACCTCACCCTAAGGCTCTATCACCTCACCCTAAGACTCTATCACCTCACCCTAAGGCTCTACCACCTCACCCTAAGGCTCTATCACCTCACCCTAAGGCTCTATCACCTCACCCTAGGCTCTATCACCTCACCCTAAGGCTCCCCATCACCTCACCCCAAGGCTCTACACCCTCAACTCTATCACCTCACCCCAAGGCTCCTATCACCTCACCCTATCACCCTCACCCTAAGACTCTATCATCTCTCACCCTAAGGCTCTATCACCTCACCCTAAGGCTCTATCACCTCACCCTAAGGCTCTATCACCTCACCCTAAGGCTCTATCACCTCACCCTAAGGCTCTATCACCTCACCCTAAGGCTCTATCACCTCACCCAGTATAACCTGTGTCGCTTCTTGGTGTCCATAATTCACTAGACCACAAAAGGCAAACCTAGTACAAAGTCTCCTTCATTATATTAACCTCTTGAGTACGATGACTTAAATTTTGAGTACGATCTTAACCCCTTGAGTACGACACTTTAACCCCTTGAGTATGGTCTTAACCCCTTGAGTACGACACTTTAACCCCTTGAGTATGGTCTTAACACCTTGAGTACGACACTTTAACCCCTTGAGTACGATGGCTTTAACACCTTGAGTACAATGTTTTAACCTCTGGAGTACGATATCATAACCCCTTAAGTACGATAACCCCTTGAATACGATAACACTACTCAGGAGGTTAAAGTCAGTGGAGGTAGAAGGTTAATCTGCCTCCACCCACTTATTTAACCGGGGTCATCACTCACACTGCAGGAGAGTCATAATGGGAAGAGTTATGTGGTTAAGGTCCTGAGTCCTTCACAATTACACCTCAGTGGGATTTCAAATTTGATTGATATTTCTCATAAGTAAACAATTTCTCCGTCTAGTCACATTCACAAACGACAGAATTCTTTATAATTATCGATATTTGGTTTTAATGTTTGTTTTTTAAGAGTTATATGATTAAAAGTTCTTATTTCCTGTATTTTAAGTAATAAATTATAACTACAACACCTACAATAACCCCCAGAGTAAGAATACATTACAACAACAATAACAAACTTAGAACAAGAATTATAACATGGACATAACTCAAGAACAGTATGAAGAGGTAGACAATTGAAGCTATCACTCCCGTCTGTCCGTCTGTCTGTCTGTCACTTATAGCACGAGGCCAGGAACCCTTTCAATATGTCAACAGGTAATACGGGAGAGGCTTTTAGTATCTGCTTAAGGCATCTGTAATGTGGTTACCTTAATACTTCTAAAAAGGTTAATAGAGGGTGTCACGCCAGGGTTTGTCTTTGAAGGGAGGAAAGTGTAATGGATAGCGAGTCCCCTGGCCCTCCTACACACACACACACACACACACACACACACACACACACACACACACACACACACACACACACACACCCACACCCACACCCACACACACACCCACGGAGAACATGTTTACAACTCGCTTGACTGATGGCGACAGAAATATTTATTGACTGAAGATCTCGCCTTTCAAACAAGGTTGTAAACATCTCGTCCCACTGAACTGCTGCCAGATACGAAACACCAACGTCGGTAAATAATATCCCTACACTTTAAACGAATAATGATACATTTTACGAATAATTATAACGAAATACGTAATATACAAAAACACGTTCAATGGATAATTTTTTGACGTATACTTTAAATTAAATACACCATATAGATGTAATAATAATATACATAAATAATGAACTCCTAAAGGTATTTCAAGCGAGAACTTACCTGTGAGACGCGTAGCTAATCCGCCCTTGTCTTTTGTATTCATACCCGGTAGAATGTCGTCTTCTTGATGTGTATAATAAATATTTACACAATTTCCCCAACATGTGTAGACAGTTATATGTATGGACGATCCGGCCTCAAGTTCTTTAAGCTGGTATGGTTAGATTAGGTTAGGTTTGGGTAGGGAGGGTTAGGTTAGGGTAGGTTAGGTTTGGTGAGGTCGTTGTGGTTTAGTTTTGGTTAGGATAAGGTTAGGTTAGGTTAGGCTAGGACAAATTTAACCCATACCAAAAATAATTGACTAACAGTGTCCCTAAACTGAGACCTGAAGTAAAAATCTCAAGACTAAACCAAACTTGGGGCGGAAACGTCAAAATAAAAACACAAATAACCTCCTCTAGCCAACAGACCTGCACGACGTTCCAATAGTGGACAACAGCAGCAAGGCTCTCCGTCACCTCAGGACACGCAGCACCCAGTAGGATCATCATCTTGGCTCGGGAGGTGTAGATGGCGTGGAAGAAGGCGTCAACACCACTCCCACTATCACACTGCAGATGGGAAATACGAAATAATTACCTCCTGATTATCACTTCATTAAAACTACCATTTATATTGGATAATTTATATAATATACATAATTCTAATGTCGATAACTAGTTTATATACCTAAAAACTGAAAGACGTATTTATATAAACACCATATACATAATTATTAGGATTTATAGCGTATTGGTAAATTAACAATGACATATAAGGAAAAATATACGATAATGTTAAGGTGGCTAACAGTGAAGAATTAACAGTGAGAAGACAAGGGAAGTGAGTTCAGAGAAGGAGATGGAAAGGGAAGCGAGTTACAATGTTGTTAACGAAGGAGAAAGAGGAGAGAAATAAAGAAATAGAGAGAGAGAGAAAGGAAAGTCTATATATAGCTAGAATGAAATGGAGGATAGATAGAATAACGCCTAGACTAGAATATAAGAGAGAGAGAGAGAGAGAGAGAGAGAGAGAGAGAGAGAGAGAGAGAGAGAGAGATATTATTCCCTGAACCAAGTCATTAATAAGCCCTCTATATTCCCATCATATATATTCAATGTATTTATTACCATTGCAACGTCGACTTTTACCCCCGGAAGGAAAATTAGCTTCGGTGAATACAGACTCAGAGACCCATGGACCAATGGGTTTTTTCCACACCGTTAAAACCTGATTAATTTTATTTTTAATTTAATCAAAGTTCACATATTATTTTTTTTACTCATTATTATTATTATTATTTTATTATTGTACCCACATTAACAAGCCGGATCCTCACTAAATAGACGGCTCTTCAGAATTGGGGCATTAGTCGAGTCACCAAATCTCAGAAGAAAAAAATATAGTAATTTAACGAAACCGCTCGTGTCCTGGGCGGTCTACGGAGAAAACTGAAATTCTCCCTCAAGTAAACTCCCACCTAGAGTAAGAAGAACTAACAGTCCCCACAAGCTGATAGCCAAAGCTGCCGAGCGGTGGTCAGTGAATGTTTGACTCGACCGCAGCAGCTGTGAGTACACGCCCAGAGAACGAAAATAATCGGTCCTAGTCTGGAATGCGTAGGTTTCTTTTAAAGCTTATTGGGGAACTGAAATGTATGCTATATTTATTTTTTTTTAACTGTGTGAGGAATTATTAGTTTTTCTTCCATTGGGGAATTTGAATTTATGACCAGCGAAAAATACCCGATTGGTTACTGGTACTGATTACCCTACGTTTTGCTGTCTTTTAGTCAAATTACCCTAGGCAAAGAAAATAGGCTGAATTACCCCTTAACTCTCTCTCTCTCTCTCTCTCTCTCTCTCTCTCTCTCCTCTCGCTTTGTTTTGGGGGTTAAAATTCTCCCTTAAAAATATTACCCTCTACACAAGTTCCATAATCTATTCACTAGCTTAAAGAAACTACCAAGTGATTTCGCTGATTAGGAACTCTTTAGTTTCTAGTAGCGAGGGAAACATTTTTGAAAGACCCATTACAAGAATCTCGGCGACATACATCAAGGAAATTGAAAGAGGCTTCACCCTACAAACTTTGGCCCGACGGAAGCTGACAGCTGAAACGGAAGGAATCAGTTGGTTTGGCGAGTTGATTTGGTCTGGTCTGGTCTGGTCTGGTCTGGTCTGGTCTGGTCTGGTCTGGCCTGGCCTGGCCTGGCCTGGCCTGGCCTGGCCTGGCCTGGCCTGGCCTGGTCTGGACTGGTCGCGTTTCAATATATCTTAATTGAGGTTTACATAGTGTTCGTTTAGGCTATTAAAAAAAATCATATTGACACCGACTGCGTTTGCGTTACATGAATATTTGTTTTAAAGTATAGATGAATTGGTCAGCGATTCTCTATTTTACACCCAGGATATAGAAGGTATCTCATATACTATAGGACTAGGCGTGTGTCTGTCTGTCTGTCTGTCTGTGTGTGTGTCTGTTCTGGGCAGCCAAAACGGAACAATCGTTTTTCATCAAACTTGGTGGAAAAATCGCAAAACATTCGTAGAGTGGAACAAACCTGGTCCCATGTCGATGGTTTCTTTAGGAAGGCATTAATTAACAATTTTATTTACGATGGAAAACGATGCAACTCTACGGACTTGGCGCACCCTCATTCGCTGTACGCTGTCACGAGCGTTCAAACTTTCACAAGGGCACGAAGGGCCTGCGATCACTTGTATATCACTATACACTATATATTCTCATCCCTCTTAAAGGCTTATAGGGTGCAGCAAGGGATATATTTATAGTGGTCAATAACTCATCACAAGAACGGTTGAAAGAGCATGACAAGAATGATGGATGATTTCTTAGTAACACTGGCGGCCACTAGAGGAGGTTAGTGGTTGGACCAATCAGGGCTCGAGTTTATTGTTGTTTGAGATTACGTCATGTCGCTAAGCTTTCTACCACGATTGCTTCTGGTGTAATGTGCTGCTAAAATAATAATAATAATAATAATAATAATAATAATAATAATAATAATAATAGTGAGAGACAGACAGACTAACTTCACTCGCAGTGTAAATACGAAAAAAATAAATAATTCAGAATATAACCCCACTACACTACCATACATTACGACAGGTTAAGAGAATAATTGACACCTTCTTTACATAAGGTCCAGAGCATCCGGAAGTCCCTATAGAAAATCCAGGTTTATAGTCTGGGTAGGGAGGGGGCGCCCACCACCACCTCGAGCTGAAACTTCTCACACGATCCAGTAATCATTTCAGCCTCTCTTTTATACTATAGAATTGCCCTCTAAATTGAGTTCCATTTCACATCTAAACTTTCATCTGATGGAAGAGGTTTGGTATAGAGTCGATCAAGTCTATTTCGGGATAAATTGAAAATGTAACTTTTGCTGGGGAAGTTTTTCAGGTCTTGTTTATGTAATGGATTTATCCTGGAGCGTTAAGCGGCTATGTACTGTAGGTGATGTTACGTGTGTTTCCCGTCAGTGAGGATGATCCTGAAGATGTTTGAAATGCTGGTGTCTCATTGGCCTAATTCTCAACCACTTAATAGGAAACGTATTGTAATTGGTTGATCCGTGCCCACGTCTCCTAATAATCCGAATAATCGTATTTATTCTCAATTCTCTCGTATATTTTCTAAAAAAAGTATCGTTCAGCAAATTAACGAAGAGGAAAATAATTGATATTGGTGAAGTTTATAAAAAAAAAAGCTGATTACATTCATTATCTACCAATGAAATACGTCGTTTTTTACGTAGTGGTGAGACACAGACAGACAGACAGACAGACAGACAGACAGACAGACAGAACAACACCCCCCCCCCTCCTCCCCCCGACAGCAATAAGCGTACTGTAGGGTGTCCATAAGGTCGTAACTTGTACTTTGTTTACTGAATAATTAAACCATGTCAAGATAATGAAATATGCAAATAATACCCCCACGCTGCCTTAATCACTCCCTCACCCCTGGCAATTAAAAGTGTCATTTTTTTTTTAACTCCCGTCTATTTAACTCATGATAAATTATGCTATTAATTAGAGGGAGAAAACCACAGGGAATTAATTATGATTAGTGGACGTTTGTAAATGGTAGCTCTATATATATATATGTTCTTTAGCTGCGTTAGGTAGCTCTATGAACACCAATCGTATCTATCTATCTGCCTTCCCTGAGAATTGATGCCTCTCTCTCTCTCTCTCTCTCTCTCTCTCAACTCACCCTGCACCACTTTGCATCAATTATCCCTTACACCATTAAGCCACTAAACTGACTTACCACACCACCACCACCACAACACGCACTTAATTCTCACACAACCTTAAGGTAATTTATTTTCCCTTTAGTTCAAATACAGTAGAGAGAATCTCAGTTAGGGCTTACGATCGATTTGTGTTGGGATTAATTTTAGCGTTGGAGGGTCAGGTCTGGTGGAAGTGAAAATTTTAACTCGCGAATATTTGTGATTTCTAAATTATATCATTGTGTGTGTTTCACTTTTAACCTAACCTAACGCTAACCTAATCTAACTTAACCTAACCTAACGCTAACCTAATCTAACTTAACCTATCGCTAACCTCATCTATATGGTAATTCTTAATGAAAATGCATGGCGTGTGTGAAGGACGAATGTAACGTCACGTTTTGATCACCATTACAATTTCGACGTAATTTCATAACACTGTGACGCGGTCTTCAGTAACTTCCATTACCCTTATACCATGTAGTGAAGATGATCACCTGAAGATTAGCCCTCCCTAGTTTATTTCACCTGATGATTTAACACCTGAACGTTACCAGGAGGAGGAGGAGGAGGAGGAGGAGAATAAGTAATAATAATAATAATAATAATAATAATAATAATAATAATAATAATAATAATAATAATAATAATAATAATAATAATAATAATAATAATAATAATAATAATAACAGACTCACCTTAGTGTCATTGTGGAACATGATGAGCTTGTGACCAGGTATGATGCGCTGTTCGTTGATGTGCGTTAGAGCCAACTGAGCGGCCGCCAACTCCGCCCTGCCACCCACCCTCGCCTCTCCCTTCACCGTCAGATCAAACAGCCCCAGGATAGGCACTATACGATCCCGGGACGCGGTGTTTGTAGGGTAGTCGAGTCTTGGAGTGGATGTGTAACTATACCACTGATGGTCTTGTCTCGTTGGCCATGAATACAGATTACTTCGACTTCGTTTAACGTGTCGTGGAGCTTGGTAGGTCCTGAGGCCATGGAGAGGTGTGTGGGTGCTGTGAGTCTGTATACCTCGTCCTTGATTGTAATTAACACCTTGAGCTTGAAAGTCTGACTGTCGCTGACTTGGAGGAAGAGGTGAGGGAACAGGTATAGGGTATTGATCTTGTGGGGTTACCTGCACATGGCCACGCAGGTAACTAGGTACACGTGAAGATCTGTAGTAGAGTTGAAAGTGCCTCTGTGGTCGTCCTACATATCGAGGTCCACCTTGACGAATATCATGTAGATAATTCTCAGAGTGATGAATCAGGTCTGGAAAATCACCATCCCTAATTTTTGGACCTTCACTCAGAATAACTGGACCTGCAAGACCTGACGAGGAATTTAGGGTATGGTGACCTGAGGACCCACTGACTCTTGGCCCATGAGACGTATAGTAATGGTCAAGACTGATGTAGTTTCTGAGGAACTTACGTCGAAGTGTTGACCCGGTACGAGATGTTTTATACTGTACCGGCAGCCATATATGATCCTTCCATCTAGGTACATCAGCTATCTGGTGTCTTGAATGTGTAGACCAGTTGCTTAAGGTATCATGTTTCAATCCATATACTTGAGTGATATTCTCCTTCTTAGTTAATTCCCTTTCGTAACTTCCTATGTTCAAAGTCGCTGAAGAGTTGTTCCTCCTTCTGTTCATAAGTTCTTCCTTGTTCTCCTGTAGGTGGTGAGGGGTCTTGATTCTTGCGGGGTCTTGTGCATTCACCAAGACGAGAGGTGTTTCACGGGTCACTAGCGTCGCGTCCCAGTTCTCGTCTGTGTGTTTTTCAAAGACCAATGGCAGTGTGTGTGTCGTGGTGCCTTGCTTCTCAGGTTCCAGTGCATAAGGTAAGGTAGGCGTTGAGGTACTGTCACGCGTGTTGTCACTTAATAATGTAACTTTACCTGATGGAATATTCTGGGTAAATTTTTCATCCTTATCAAGTTTTTCATTTCCTCTCGAGTTTTCTCTTACGGAAGGAGTAACTTCAGTACTTGATATTCGAGTTACATTTTGAAGATTAGCATTTAAATCTGTCATAGTTATTGAGTCAGTCGTAGTATTAACCGTATACAATTTACCTGTGCCACCTGAGTCAGTATCATTGTAGGTCACATTTGTCCATCTCATGAAAGCTAAACTCCCACCACTGTTACCCTTTGGAACACTCACATCAACATCCTTATTTCTCTCTGGAATTTTAGTTTCGTTTCGGTTTTCTTCCTCCACTTTCCCAGGAGTGGAATGATATACTGAAAGTTTCCCCAGAGGGGGGTGCTTAGCGACGTCCACTTGAGGGAGGTGCTTGGCGACGTCCACTTGAGGGAGGTGCTTGGCGACGTCCACTTGAGGGAGGTGCATGGCGACGTCCACTTGAGGGAGGTGCTTAGCGACGTCCACTTGAGGGAGGTTCTTAGCGGCGTCCACTTGAGGGAGGTGCTTAGCGACGTCCACTTGAGGGAGGTGCATGGCGACGTCCACTTGAGGGAGGTGCTTAGCGACGTCCACTTGAGGGAGGTTCTTAGCGGCGTCCACTTGAGGGAGGTGCTTAACGACGTCCACTTGAGGGAGGTACTTAGCGACGTCCACTTGAGGGAGGTGCATGGCGACGTCCACTTGAGGGAGGTGCTTGGCGACGTCCACTTGAGGGAGGTGCTTAGCGACGTCCACCGGGCGGTCTGGAGTGGTTGAAGGATCACTTCCCCCCGCAAGTGGTCGTGTAAAATATGATACGCCGCTTCTCGTTCCCGGCGAATGTTGAATCAAACACGAGGAACATCTCGGCCCACCTGGAGCACCTGTAGAGAGTCTTACAAGTGGGGACTCCAACTTATGACCGTCTGGGAGGATGTTAGAAGCTGGGTTAATATTACTGCCACTCTCTCTCTCCATGAAATCCTTTACGAGTCTGGTTGTCCCAGCACGAGAATTATATTTTCGTGATTTAGAAAGTGAGAAATCAGAGCTGGAATTACTCTCCTGTAAAACATTTCTGGGAAAGGAAATTGCATTCTGACTTGTTGTGGAATTTCTACCTTTGTGAGAATGTCTTAGAGGCGCTGAGGGAACACTTACACTTAGGTTTAGTGTCGAGTTTTCTATATTTTCAAGAGAATGAATTAGTGTGTGTTTTGTTCCTCTTCTGCGTCGCCGTCGGTGATTTGCTCTGTATAAGCGTCTAACCTCCTTCAGTTCATTACCTCCCCCGTCAGCCTCAGTGCTCCCTAGGGCCCCGACACCTACCTTCGCGTTCTCCCGTTTCCTCGAGTTTTTCTCAATACCTCGTCTAATTCTTCTAGTTTTACGTATTTTTATCGTCCTTCCCACATTCTGTTTCCTTTCCACACTTCTTTTCCGTCTTTCTCGAGGTATGAGACTTAAGTCGAGTAATAGCTCATTCTGTAACTCGCCTTTGAACGCCTCGAGTGTGGAGTTGCTGCCAGAATCAACTCTTTTCCGCGGGTCATTACGAGTCAACCTTACGCGCCTCGAGTTTCCCTTTAGGTCAGTGGTAAAGAATTCTGGGAGGTCAAGTTGCGTCGCCTGGGTTGGATTTCTTTCATCAGCTTCCCCCATGAGCCTTGATGTTAGTACCGGGTAATGCCTTGCGTCCGCTGGGTCATGTGAAGCAGTTTCCTTTGTGTTGTCATCTCCTGTGGCCCTCGGCAGCAAAACCTGTTGCGTGTACATTTTGAGAGTAGGTTTAGGTACGTTATTTCTTCTTAAAATTGTTGTTTTTTCTGGTGTTTGACTTGGTTTTAGGTCTGGTATATACTGCGATACACCTTGAGTCGGTTTTGTTGGTTTATACGGAGATATTAATACTGTGAGTGTATTCCCAGGGACGTAATCTACCTCTCCATCAAGGATTTGCTTTGGCACATATGACTTCCTCAGGTGTGTACTACTGTGTTTACTACTAGTGCCAGCCAGGTGTGGAGATGGTGGTGTTGAGGGAGAGGTGAACCGCGCCGTTAGTGTCTCTGGCAGGTGGTTCCCCCGGGGCCCGTCTGGTACTGTTGAACTGAGGAACATCACAACCGGCCACAGACAATCCATGATGGCGGTGCTGTCGGCCTGATGGGAGATCCCTTGGGGGGCAGTAATGGGTTTACGGCCGGTCATTAACCCGGATGGCCTGATAATGAGCCAGATATGACACTTTAATGGATTCCTAAGAAAAGTGGATTTTCCTCTAAAGGTGATGTAGTGAATATCGTCTCCAGACTCGAGGTGACGTTTATTACTGTTCCATAATACAGGTAAGGCAGCGTCAACACCTGGAGCTCCTGTCTGTGGTTGTTGTCTGGGGAGCCTCGTTCCTTGGTTCTCTGGCAGGCCAATTAGTCTTACCTCTGGTTTCATTTTATTGACTCGACTCTGAATTACATTACTGATTCCCTTTTCTCTAGATAAATTATTAACGTCTTGGTTTAAAGAGAGTTGATTGGAATGTGTTAGTTTGTGTTTCAAGTCCTTCCTCGATATTCCTTGAAAAAATATAACATGGGTTGTAAAATTCGTGGTTAGGTTAATATTCTCAGATGACTTGAAAAATCTACTTGGTGTGCTTTCATTTTTCATTCCTTGAGTAAGTTTTTTCCCTTTAGTGTTTTTTTTCCCTCTGGTGGAGTTTTTTTCTGTCGCGGTTTTTTTACATTTTCTTTCCCAATTTTTTGTCGCTCGGAAAGTCACTTGTGAGGGATCGATTTTTTTCTCCTCTTCGTCTCTTTTCTCTCTCATCACCGCTTGATCCTCTACGTCTTTGTTCACTCGGCTCTGATAAGTGTCTTTTCTCGTCTCCTCTCTCTCGTCTACTCCTTTATTCGCTTTTATATTCTCTCCCATGCGACTTTGCCCCTCGCTAAGGACACCCTCTTCGCGCTGTCCACCTGAGCTGAGAGAGAACTGAGAAATATCGATTCGTTTCTCTTCCCATTCTCTTCTCTTCCCTTTGTTTAATTTATTCCTGTTGTCATCTTCCCTCGTTTTCAATATCCTATTTATTTTTGTATTCAATTTTGCTGTTTCTTTTATTTTATTCGTTAATTTACCATAGAGGATATTAGGATTTACACCTGAGGTCTTGGCTGCCCGGTAATACATTCGTCTCAGGTGGCATGAGGACTGAGGTCGATGCGGTGGTGTATCAGGCTCTCGTTGAAGACTCTCCTCCTCTTTCGTCTCCAAAGGTGAAGTGTGGGAGGCCCTCTGGAGCATCTGTGAGCCTTTGTACTGAGCGTCAGGAGTCTTGTGTGGTCTTTTGTATATGGATGACACAACGTGACCATTGCCATCCTTCTTTAGGTAGATCGATGACAACGTCGGCTCCGGATGTGTGTCAGTGTGTGAGGTCTCAAGACGTGGTATTGGTTGACTCATGCTGGTGTTGTGTTTCTGTAATCTACCTTCATCCAGCTGGTGGGAGACGTGGGTCGGTGCTGTGCTTTTTAGACGTGAATTTCTCTTCATTCTTGCTTGCCACTTTATGATTACTCGAGGCGTCTGTACATGCTTTATCATTTCCCTGAATCCTCGCTTCTTAGAGTCCGGAGTCTTTAATACAAGATTCGATCTCGTTTTTTTACCATTACCTTCTTCTCTCATCTCGTTAAGAACACGTACGAGGTTAATGTCCCGGCCCGTTGACCTTGACCTAACACTGTTGCCACCGTCGGTAAACAAGTCCCTTTTATCTCTGTGTTGTCCGCCATACTCGTGAAAGCTTTCGACAAAATCAATCACATCATCTTCATCCCGTCCTCTGGGTTTGCTCTTACTCTGGTCATCATCAACAAATATGTTATCTTTTATTATCTCTATCTCACCTTTTTCCTTAACTTTTTTCTTTCTCTTTGTGTAATCAGAATAGATCCCGTTTTCATTACATATTATTTCGTTAGTTTGTCTCAGTTTAAACATTTTCTCTCGTCTCTTGTGAAAAAATTTCCTTCTGGCGTCCCTCTTGTCAACCCAAGGTGGAGTTAGTGTCATAGTCAACTCGTTCCATGATCTTCGTGGCCATGAGCGCTGTATGATGTTCATTATATGTTGGGGTTGGTCCAGTCTTTTATAATCCCCTCCACGATCTCTTCCAGGGGACATCCAGACGCTCTCCCCATTCCTCAGTGCCCCTGGAACATCCACTCCTGGAAAACGTATCGTACTTTTTCGCAATGACGCGTTGAATATTTGTGAACTTTGTGTAGGTCTCTCGAGTCTCATGTTTACAGCTCGTGGGGGTCGATATATTACGGGCTTTCGTGGTAAGTATGTGATTGGTTTACTAGGGGTATGTATTTCACGTCTCGGGGTGCCATAAATTACAGGTCTTCTACGTATGTACTGGATGCTTTTCGTAGGTGTTAGGGCTTCAAACTTCATATCACTCGGAGGTTCATACAACACTGGCTTCCTAACATCATTACCCAGAAAACCCAAATCTCTGTACCTTACTGAAACATCATGACCTTGACGAGAGAACAAGGCCCTTTCATCGTCCACTCCTTCAGGTTTCCTCGCTTTATATACCAAAGTTTCCGGGTCACTGTATCTACTTGGAACAAATCCTCGACGTGTAATAGAATGAATTCCTTTAGGTTGCCCGAGGAAACTGGCATAGCGGGAGGTCCTGGTGGCGCAGTTGACGGGTTGTTGTGGGTGTAGGAGCAGAAGGAGTAGAGGCAAGGAGATGAGACGGATGTTGGAGGCACTTAGATCATCAGGGTGTTGAGAGAGTCGCATTCTGGCGTGGCTGCTGACGATCTGAAGAAGAGAGAGACAGAGATACAGACAGTTAAGCTTATTTAGACAGAATTAGTAAACAGATAAGCTTAATATACTGGTATGATAAAACAAGTATGATTTATCTATAATGCTTTTGAGGTTATAATGAGTTAGACAATTAATAAATACTAAATATATACAGGTAACTTAGGTGAATCTCTTGCAAGGTGTGTGTCATTGCGTGTGTGTCATTGCATGTGTGTGTGATTTTACCTGGCAATATTTTTAGTGCTCGCGTGGGGGTGTGGGGGAGAGGGAGGGAGGGGAGGGGGGGATTGTTTACATGGTGTGACCCCGACTGTGTAAGGCATCGATTATGGGGAAGTAATCTTCTTAGTGAGAAAAATGTGGAGTAAATTATTTCAATCTTTGGAGGTAATGTGTTATTTTTGTTACATACATACATACATACATACATACATACATACATACATACATACATACATACATACATACATACATATATATATACATGCATACATACACTCTCACTCTCTCTCTCTCTCTTACACACACACACACACACACACACACACACGTCTATTTACAGAACCTAATTATTAACAAGTCTTTGAGGTTGTCCCTTTGTCGTGTGTGAGTACAACCAGACACGCTTCCGCCCTTCAGTGTAGCCTCATTACTGCCATACCCCGCAACCCACCACGTCACGCACCACCTCGCCACCTGCACGACCTCACTACTTTGCATGAAATTACCGCCTGCACGACCCCCCCATAACCTACCACGCAATGCACTACCTGCACGACGCCCCCTGCACGACCTCGCCCCTGCGACCTCACTACTTTGCATGAAATTACCGCCTGCACGACCCCCTTAACCTACCACGCAATGCACTACCTCACCCCACCTGCACGACCTCACTACTTTGCATGAAATTACCGCCTGCACGACCCCACAAACCCACCACGTCACGCACACCACCCACCCCCTGCAGACCTCACTACCTTACCAAACTTAACCTAACCCTTAACTCACCAACACACCACACACACACACACACACACACACACACACACACACACACACACACACACACACACCCCTGACCTGACAGTCTTTTCCCCCCACATTAAGTCAAGACAGGCAGCCCGCTCAAAGCTCACACTAAGGTGATCTGATTCCCTATTGGTTCACCAGAGAGCCAATGGCTTTGATCTCCAGCCTCCAAATAATCCCTCCAAATCCCTCCAAATAATCCCTCCAAATCCAGGCCCTCCAAGTCCGGATACAAGGCTTCCATGGCCGGCTTAGCAAAGTGCTTATACCATTGAAGGATTATATGTGTTTTCATCTTCCGGATTCTCAAAAATTCTTTACGTTAATTTATTGTTAATTAAACGAATCTACCTGTCCTTCCTACCTGTCTCCTTACCCCCACCCACCCTCTCCCTCCTTCTCTCCTCTACCTCCCTCCTTCCTCCTCCAGGGTAGTAGGTAGTATCAGGGTCAGAAACAATCAGGAAGAAAAGGAAGAAGAAGGAGGAAGAGGAGTAAGGAGGGTCACCAAACGACACTAAGATAAGGGGTGGTGGTAGTGGTGATGTGTAATGGGGGTGGTGGTAGTGGTGATGTGTAATGGTGGTGGTGGTAGTGGTGGTGTGTTAATCTACAAAATAATCCATACAATTAACAATATACCTCATTATCATTAACCATCATTATTAACATTATAATTATAGGCTAAAAAAAAAAATTCAACACGAGTGATTTATGCCGAGTCACGTTACACCCCCCGCCTCGCTTAATGGACCCGTCTTCCAGTGATACCATATGTAAACACAGAACCTCCCTCTGGGGTGGGATAATTCTCTCTCTGTCGCTCTCGTCTACAACCTTGTCACGTTTCCCAGATGAGATTTATTAAAGATTCTTACGCTATTCTTTTTTTTTTTTTTAATCGTATCTGGAGGTGAAGAGAAATTTAATTATGAGAGAAAAAGATGTTTAGGAGGTGAACGTGTCTAGTTATGAGAGAGAAGATGGGTAAACACACACACACACACACACACACACACACACACACACACACACACACACACACACACACACACACACACACACACACACACACACACACACACACACACACACACACACACACACACACACACACACACACACACACACACACACACACACACACACACACACACACACACACACACACACACACACACACACACACACACACACACACACACACACACACACACACACACACACACACACACACACACACACACACACACACACACACACACACACACACACACACACACACACACACACACACACACACACACACACACACACACACACACACACACACACACACACACACACACACACACACACACACACACACACACACACACACACACACACACACACACACACACACACACACACACACACACACACACACACACACACACACACACACACACACACACACACACACACACACACACACACACACACACACACACACACACACACACACACACACACACACACACACACACACACACACACACACACACACACACACACACACACACACACACACACACACGAAATCGTTTTTGGCCCATAATCCACAGAGGGGAAGTAAATATGATATGTAAAATCGTTGTGCCTAACTCCAACTCCTAACCCAACCCCCTACCCCACCCCACCCCCACCAAACATAAGATAATAACATATTATAACTGAGGACATCTGTGTGTGCAGGAGTTTCTCACACCTAATGGTAAGTCCCCATCCAGTCTGTCCAATTATGTGTATTATAATCCTAGTTCTACTCACACATGTATGTTAACAAGTCACTTCCGCATGTACAGTCACCCAAAAAAGTCCTATCGCGAACCACGAACCCCGAGATTCAGACTCTTGAATCCGAAGCATTTATGGACAGAATAATGTATCAGTGTCTAATGCTTCGGGTTCACGAGTCTGAATCTCGGGGTTCGTGGTTCGCTTCAGTACAGTGTTGTACAGTATAGACGGTGTTGTACAGTATGGAAGGTGTTGTACAGTATAGACGCAGTACAGTGTTGTACAGTATGGAAGGTGTTGTACAGTATAGACGCAGTACAGTGTTGTACAGTATAGACGGTGTTGTACAGTATAGACGCAGTACAGTGTTGTACAGTATAGACGGTGTTGTACAGTATAGACGCAGTACAGTGTTGTACAGTATAGACGGTGTTGTACAGTATAGATGGTGTTGTACGCGCATAGACAGTGTTGTACGGTATGGAAGGTGTTGTACGAATTATAGACGCAGTGCAGTGTACAGTATAGACGGTGTTGTACAGTATAGACATGATTACAGTGTTGTGCAATGAGTATGGAAGGTGTTGTACGAATTATAGTGCAATTACACAGTGTTGTACAGTATAGAAGTTGCAATTACAGTGTTGGTACAGGTATTATAGACGGTGTTGGCTGGTATAGACAGTGTGTACAGTATAGACAGTACAGTATTTGGTGTTGTACAGTATAGACGGTGTTGTTGTACAGTATAGAGGTGTTGTACAGTATAGACGCAGTACAGTGTTGTACAGTATAGACAGTGTTGTACAGTGTTGTACAGTACAGTGTTGAACCCACAGTATAGACGGTGTTGTACAGTATAGACGCAGTACAGTGTTGTACAGTATAGACGGTGTTGTACAATTAGATAGTGTTGTACAGCATAGACAGTGTTGTACAGTATGGAAGGTGTTGTACAGTATAGACGCAATTTTGGTGTTGTACAGTATAGACGGTGTTGTACGGGTAGACGGTGTACAGTGTAGACGGTGTTGTACAGATAGACGGTGTTGTGTATAGACACGAAGTGTTGTACAGTATAGACAGTGTTGCACAGTGTTGTACAGTATAGACGGTGTTGTACAGTGCAGTGTTTGTACAGTGGAAGGTGTTTTAGTATAGATGCAGTACAGTGTTGTACGGTGGAACCATAGACTGGCCACAGTATAGACGCAGTACAGTGTTGTGTACAGTATAGACGGTGTTGTACAGTATAGACAGTGTTGTACAGTACAGTATGAACGGTGTTGTACAGTATAGACGGTGCCTTTTAATTATAGACGCAGTACAGTTACAGTATAGACGTGTTTGTACAATTATGACCCATTGTACAGTATAGACGGTGTTGTACAGTAGATGCATGGAAGGTGTTGTACAGTATGGAAGGTGTTGTACAGTATAGACGGTGTTGTACAGTATGGAAGGTGTTGTACGAAGTATAGACGCAATTACAGTGTTGTACAGTGTTGTACAGTATAGACGGTGTTATACAGTATAGACGCAGGTGTTGTACAGTATAGACGGTGTGTGTATGACGATGTTGTACGAGTATAGACGCAGTACAGTGTTGTACAGTATAGACGGTGTGTACAGGCTGAACGGTGTTGTACGTAGACAATTGATGTACAGTGTTGTACAGTATAGACGGTGTTGTACGGTGTTGTACAGTATAGATAGAGTATAGGTGTTGTACAGTATAGACGCAATTACAGTGTTGTACAGTATAGACGGTGTTGTGTACGAAGTATAGACGGTGTTGTACAGTATAGAAGCAGTACAGTATAGACGGTGTTGCGCAATATGTACGGTATAGATGGTGTTGTATAGACGGTGATGTACAGTATGTTACAGTGTGTACAGTGTGAAATGTATAGACGGTGTTGCAGTATAACGTGAATTATATATACGAGTAGACATAGACGGTATTTGTACAGTGTGTTGGCACAGTATAGACGGTGTTGTACAGTATAGACGTACAGTATACAGTGTTGTACAGTATGTTGTTGTACAGTATAGACGCACAGTATAGACGCAGTACAGTGTAGACGGTGTTGTACAGTATAGACGCGGTACAGTGTTGTACAGTATAGACGGTGTTGTACAGTATAGACGGTGTTGTACAGTATAGACGGTGTGTACAGTATAGACAGTGTTGTACAGTATAGACGCAGTGCAGTGTTTGTACAGTATAGACGCAATTACAGTGTTGTACAGTATAGACGGTGTTTGTACGAGTATAGACGCAGTACAGTGTTGGCCACAGTATAGACGGTGTTATGCAAGTATAACGGTGTACAGTATGAACGGTGTTGTACAGTATAGACGGTGTTTGTACGGTATAGAAGGTCGTTGGCACAGTATAGAAGGTGTTGTACAGTATAGACGGTGTTGTACGAAGTATAGACGGTGTTGTGCAGTATGGAAGGTGTTGTTGTACAGTATAGACGGTGTTGTACAGTATAGACAGTGTTAGCCTGGCAGTATAGACAGTGTTGTACAGTACAGACAGTGTTGTGTACAGTATAGACAGTGTTGTACCAATTATGGGCACCAGTACAGTGTTGTACGAGTATAGACGGTGTTGTGTACAGTATAGACAGTGTTGTACAGTATAGACGCAATTGTGTTGTACGAGTATAGACGGTGTTATGCAGTATAGACTGAGTACAGTGTTGTACAGATATAGACGGTGTTGTACAGTATAGACGCAGTACAGTGGTATACAGTATAAACAACTACTCTCTCTCTCCTCTCTCTCTCCTCTCTCTCTCTCTCTCTCCTCTCTCTCTCTCTCTCTCTCCTCACTCTCTCTCTCTCTCTCTCCTCCTCTCTCTCACTCTCTCTCTCTCCCTCCTCTCTCTCTCTCCTCTCTCTCTCTCTCTCTCTCTCTCTCTCTCACTCACTCACTCTCCCTCTCTCCCTCTCTCTCTCTCCCTCCCTCCTCCCTCTCTCTCTCTCTCTCTCTCTCTCTCTCTCTCTCCTCTCTCTCTCTCTCTCTCTCTCTCTCTCTCTCTCTCTCTCTCTCTCTCTCTCTCTCTCTCTCTCTCTCTCTCTCTCTCTCTCTCTCTCTCTCTCTCTCTCTCTCTCTCTCTCTCTCACTCACTCTCTCTCTCTCTCTCACTCTCACTCTCTCACTCTGTCTCTCTCTGTATCTCACTTTGTATTTTTTTCTTTGTTAAAAACATTGTTAAATATTTCTTTCAATATAAATAATTTTATATTACATTCAAAAAATTAAAATAACAAAGATAAGTAATGGACTTCTACATTGGAGTGATGGTCGGGGTGAACAGCCTCCTTCTGTTGTCCGCCGTGTACGACTACGTCAAGTTCAAGAGGAAGGTCACTGACAAGGAGGTCAGGTCCAAGGTGGAGGCCAGGTCCAAGGTGGAGGCCAACTTGGGGACTCCTAAGATTGAGCCCACCAAGGACGGGACCAAGGCCACCAAGAAAGGGACCAAGGCCACCAAGAACCGGGTGGAGCCCACCAAGAACGGGGTGGAACCCACTAAGAACGGGGTGGAGCCCACCAAGAACGGGGTGGAACCCACTAAGAACGGGGTGGAGCCCACCAAGAACGGGGTGGAACCCACTAAGAACGGGGTGGAGCCCACCAAGAACGGGGTGGAACCCACTAAGAACGGGGTGGAGCCCACCAAGAACCTGATAAGCCCACCAAGAACGGTGGAACCCACAAGAACGGTGGAACTCCACTCAAGAACGGGTGGAACTCCACTAAGAGCCGGGTGTAAGCTCACCAAGAACCTGGTTAAGCCTTACTCAAGAACGGGTGGAACCCACTGAAGAGCCGGGTGGAACCCACCAAGAACGGGGTGGAACCCAATTGGACAGCCGGGTGGGGAACCCACCAAGAAGAACGGGGTGAAACCCACAAAGAGCCGGGTGGAGCCCACAAAGAATGGTGGAGCCCACCACCAAAGGGGTGGAACCACCCGGGGTGGGTCCGGTGGAACCCACCAAGAACGGGGTGGAACCCACCAAGACCCGGGTGGAACCCACCAAAAGCCGGGTGGAACCCACCAAGTGCCGGGTGGAACCCACCATGAGCCGGGTGGAACCCACCAAGAGCCGGGTGGAACCCACCAAGAGCCGGGTGGGACCCACCAAGAGCCGGGTGGAGCCCACCAAGAGCGGGGTGAAGCACACCAATCCGGGTGGAACCCACCAAGTGCCGGGTGGAACCCACCAAGAGCCGGGTGAAGCCCACCAAGAGCCGGGTGGAACCCACCAAGAGCCGGGTGGAGCCCACCAAGAGCCGGGTGGAACCCACCAAGAGCCGGGTGGAACCCACCAAGAGCCGGGTGGAACCCACCAAGAGCCGGGTGGAGCCCACCAAGAGCCGGGTGGAACCCACCAAGAGCCGGGTGGAACCCACCAAGAGCCGGGTGGAACCCACCAAGAGCCGGGTGGAACCCACCAAGAGCCGGATGGAGCCCACCAAGAGCCGGGTGGAGCCCATGGTGGTATCGTGGGATGTCTCAGTACCCAAGTCCTGCCTGGGAGCAGTGGTCGGCCCTGGGGGCGCTAACTTGGCTCGCCTCTCGTACAAGTACTTGGTGGATGTTACACTTCACCCAACATCCGAAACCAAACTACTTGTGACCGGTGTGAGGCACCAGGTCGGCGCCGTCTGCAAGATCATTAAGTCAATGGCTGCAGACGAGAAGCTCAGGCAAAAGGGCCAAGAACTTATCACATACTCTATGTACATCCGCCCAGCCTTGAGAAGGCACGTGGTTGGTGCTGGCGGTCGTTTCCTCCACTCACTCGTAAGTTATTATGACGTGGAAGTTATCGTCCCCAGCTACCTCGAACCTAACGACCCAGTTTGGGTCATGGGAGAGGCGTACCGGGTAATGGCTGCAGTCTGGGCCATAAGGACACAAATTAATGCCTCTATTGGCGCATCTCACACATGACTCTGTGTTTGTCAATTACTTTCTTTTGTTATTTTTCTATATTATTTTTTCTTCTTATCATTATTGAATATAGTGACGATATAGTCGGTTCCCATCTCTTATAACCAGCAGACACACACACACACACACACACAAGGCACAGATACACCACATTTCTTGACCTAAAAACTGCATTTGATATTGCCAATAGACAACTGATATTGTACGATCTAGCCAAAATGGTCATAGGAGGTAGGCTGTTACACTGGATAAGTGGTTACCTAACCAACAGAAGGGCTGCTGCACTGTTTCAGGGTTACAAAGGTGAAGTCAAGGATATGGAACTTGGTACCCCTCAAGGTGGAGCACTTAGCCCCACTTTGTTCAATGTTCTTATGAATGCATTATTAAATTTAATACCAGACAACCCCAGCAATATCACAATCAGCTATGATGATGATATTCTTATACATACTAAAACTCATCGTGAAATGCAAACCACCCTGAACCATGTATACGCAGCCTGTGAGAACCTCGGTCTTATTATCGCCACTGAGAAAACTAAGGTGTTCAACAAACAAGCTGGTAACAACAAACGCGGCCCCGCCAAGTTCAAGATAGGTAACAACACTATTGACTATGTTTCTTCTTTTAAATATCTTGGTGTTTCCGTCCCTTGTACTCTACCTGCCATACAACAGCTAACCCGCCAATGTACTGACAGACTGAGACCTCTTAGAAGTGTAGCGGGGTACAGCCCGCACTATGGTGCTAATATTAGAATTGTTAAAACAATGTACCTATGCTATATAAGATCTCTGATAGATTACCACGCACCAGCCCTGGTCATTCGTGACGGGAAAGGCGTTGACAAGCTCGAGAAAATGCAAAATAAAGCCCTCAGAATTATCCTAGGATGTCCCATGAGCATTAAAGTACTTAATATGAGGAAAGAACTAGGTATACCCATTGTTAAAGATAGAATAATTGAAGTCAACCTCATGATAGCCCTGAGGCTTCTGCGTGGTGATCCTGATAACATTGTTTCCTTAAAATTGCTAGAATGTATGAACCATGGGACTACTGAGTCTAAATGGATCCAAACTACAGCTACACATATGAAGATATTTGGACTAGACCACCTGTACAAAGTTGAGACACAACAGCGCTTCCTGCCACCCTGGCGGACAGTTCCCTTCGATATCACAATACCGACGTATCCGCCTAAAAAATTAATTATACAAAGCATTTATCTCCAACACACTGCCAAATTGAGAGCCCTTGAACACATACACACTCTACAGACTGATGATAATATCACACAGACCATCTACACTGATGGATCTCTAAACACCGCCTGTGGGAGGGCTGGAAGTGCTATTGTTGTGACTCAACCTGACGGTAATATAATTGAGAAAGGAGTTAGAATTAACAACTGGGCATCCACTCTACAAACTGAATTAGTTGCCATACTCACAGCTATTAAATTCATTGAAACCACTGTTACTGACAGTCTCATCATCACTGACTCTCTATCCTCACTACTTGCCCTTGGTACCCTCGACTCAGGTTGTCACGATCTTGTCTCTGAAGCCAGACACAAATATGCGTGCCTTGTTGACCGGGGTGTCAAGGTCAAACTGTTGTGGATCCCCTCTCACATAGGCCTCATAAAACATGACAGAGTTGATGCCCTCGCCAAACTCGCGTCTAACAAAGACACCGTTGAATACAATTTGGGTCTGTCAAAAAGAACCCTTAAAACTGTAATTAGGAAAGAACTTATTGATGAGTTTGACGCAAGTAGACAAGTGCAAACAGGCACTAGTCGATCCATAGTTTACCATGATGAGATGTATCAAGTGAAACATGTATATGGAGCAAGTAACAAGATCACTAGATTACAAGATGTTGTAACCGCTAGATTAAGGTTAGGATATAAGTACCTTTGGCAGTATGTTCCTCAAGCAGATGTAAACAAAACTAAATGTAAAGTGTGTGGCCATACATATGGCCACACACTTGAACACTACGTCCTCGACTGTGTGAAGATAGAACCTTTTAGGGACAGGTCCAAGCACACTGTGTGTGAAATGGCACAACACTTCATCTCTAATGGCAAGATAGCCGACATATTAAGATTGTATCCACTTTTTTGCACTCAGTAACTATATCAGTTCTCATGTACAGAACCAAATACGCAATGTGCTTGAATACCTCCCACGTAAATGTGAATAACAAAGTGTGAGGCCAGACATACTGCCTCACACGCCTGTTCTCACGCATTTGTGAATAAGTTACCCTTTATGTATAGAACTAAACAAATAATGTAAATGAAATGCTGTGTAACTTTCGGTGCCATAATATCCTGACAACCGGGGTTAATTATTATGACCCTTTGTAAACCCTACTCTGTAATCCTTTTGCGCTACCGCTCACAGGATGAGTGTGGGGTGCACAATAAAGTAGCCGCTGCAAGCGGCAAAATCAAAATCATCTCTACCCACTGATCCACCCAACTCACCAACCTACACTCACCCATCCACCTACAACATAGTGACCACACCAACCTACCCACTCACCCATCCACCGCCCTATCCACCCACCAACCCACCACTACAGAGACCACACCCACCTCACCACCTCACTCACCAGCGGACCATTCCGTCTCTCCAACTGAACTCAATTTCTCTTCCACGCTGTTTTGGACAACAATGTTTCACTCGTGTATGTTTCGAACCCAGATGTTTCGTTTCTGGAAGTTTCGGCTCCACATTTTTGGACACAGGAAGTTTTGGACAGAGGAAGTTTCGGATCCCACGAAATTCCGGAGGACGGAAGTTTCGGATCCCACAAATTTCGGAACCCGGATGATTCAGCTTTAAACATATCGCCAGTGCACAAACTTCTCTACACAGCCACTACAACCCAACAACCTTTCCATAACCACCAACACTACACAATCACCCGTATATAACAACCATCGTACCATCAACCTTACAGAACAATAACCATTACCACACCACTATCACACAACCACCCATACACAACCACCACCACTACTTTACCACCCATACACCCACACAACTACTCCACAACCACAACCCCATAAACACCATTACAGCCACCCGTACACAACCACCACCACCCAGCTTAAAGGATTGTATCTCGGACTAACAATTAGGTTTCATCTGGGCTCAAGCAGTATCTTCCTCAGGTAAATGGTTTACTGTGTAGGAACACCTTTGGGAGGAGAAGCAGGAGAGGGGGAGGGGGAGGGTAGGAGAGGGGGAGGGGAGGAGAGGGTGAGGGAGGGAAGGTGGGAGGAAGGGGGAAGGTGGGAAGAGAAGGAGGGGGAGGGGGAAAGAGGGTTGGTGGGAGGAGAGATATGGGGAGAAAGAGGGGTAAGGTGAGAAGAGGAGGAAGGGATAAGAAGGTAGCAGGGAGGAGGAAGGGAGAGGTGGGAGGGAGGAAGTGATAGGAAGGATGGGTGGGGAGGGGAGACAAGGTGGAAAGGGGGGAAGAGGAGGTAAGTTGGGAGGGATGGTGGAGGATGTTATGGGAGAGGTAAGGTTGGGGGGAGTTGAGGTAGGGGAGAAGTTTGATGGTAGGGGGGAGGAAAGGGGGGAGGGAGGGAGGGAGAAGGGGAGAAAGGGAGGGCGGGAAGGCAGAGGTTGTTGTTGTTGTTATAATGTTATTACTACGCTTCAACAACTATGGTCTTTAAGCTCGTAACAAGGTAACTAATTACACCATTATATCAACAATTAAAAATTACGAGATAAAACTTGAGCTGGAGAGGGAATGAGGAGGGAAGGAGGAAGAGAAGGGAAAGAAAACGGAAAAGAGAGAGAGGAGAGGAGGAGGGGGAAATTGGAGGGGAGC